TTTGGCAGCCGTTCAAGGGCACTTGCAAAACGGCAGTCAAACTACCATTTTGATTATTCCCACCTAAAATTTTCTGATTTCTCTATGTTCTTACTCAAATCTAACTATTTCTCTAGATGCTATCAGAGGCATTATTCCTTTTGTCTCATTGCATGAGATTTCTATAATTGCTGAAGGTCTTCTTGGTTTTCTCTGGTCGAACAGCCACTTCAGAAGAACACGAAAATTCATTTAGAAAATATTTGCTCTCCCTCACTCTTCGTAAACAACAAATATGAACTCAAGCTTTTGAGGCCATCTGGTGTGCTTGATGATGACATCATTATGCAGAGAGCCTATACATTCAACACCCCTTTATCCTAGTCCCCTCTCAGGACTGAGTCTTAGGGGGAACAGCAGAGCAGGAGTGTAGGCGATTTTCATTCTTCCCAAAGTTCTTCATTGCTCCTAGGCTCGGTTTGCGCAACGATGACCCCTGCCTACACCAGCGCCGGACCGTCTAGGGGATGTGAGGTGGGCTTAGGAATCATCTTATAGATTATGAGATCATTTCGTTGAAGAGCTGAACGCTTTCATTTCTGACACCTTTTTGTTGCTAAGAAAAATCCAGTTCAGATGGAAGATATTATTAGTAACTCCACGTTCAGTCCCCTTGGGGCACATCAGGCAGTAGTACTGTTGAGAGATGTGAGGCGTACAAATGTGTTTTTGGCGAACACCAATGACGTGGAGGGTCACCGGGGTCACCCAGTGAGTACGTCAAAGTCGATGTTTATCATCTGAAGGAGTCTCATGTCAATGATCGAACATCGGAGGAATGGAAGGATTGAATGGATCGGTATGATCCTTACAAATCAAAGCACAACCCTCGTCCCCTTCGATTTCTTATGCATACGTGTTTGATTTATTGAGTGCAAACGGGAGGGTAGGCCAATTATAGATACAGTAAGGCTCCAGTGTACACAATGACGTCACGAACCACTGTGGCATCGATAGCACTAGAACTCGGAAGGAAGCGGGAATCCGGGTTGCGTAAGCAGTTTTCACTTCCCCGAACTCCTCCCTCTTTACCAGATTTGTCTTAGGTACCGAAATGAAGAGATCATACGATTGAGCGGCTATTGTTGTCCAATTATCGGCTTGCCCCTCCCCCCCCCCCCCCGACTAGTATCGTACCATGTTTTGCTCTGAAACGCAGCCAAGGCGTTAAGATTCAATTGACTCGTTTTAGATATTGAGGAGAAGCTCTGCATTCTGAAAGCCTCAGGTGCTTGCGGGTTGGGTGGGCACGGCGATTTTTTATATCACGTACTCTAAATAATGTGTTCACGCATTCACAAAAGTTAGGCTAGGAATAGTTTTAACCGGGTGGATTAGCAATCTTAATTGCTCAAAAAATCAGATGCCCGTCTGAATCACATAGCACCAGCCTCTAATAAGTAAAAAGTTCACTGACAATGGCCAACTGAAGAGTAATGTGTGATTTTCGCGTAAGGTGATTTTCGTAGCTTTTCCTTGTAAATTCAGTTTTCGAATTTTTCTTAATAAAATCCCCCCCGTTTCAACCCGTCGTTATCAGTCCGATATCGACGACTTCATATCCCCCCGATTACTTTGTCCCATGGACGTGCGTTCTTTGATTTTATCTCTCCGTCCCTGTGCTCTTCACGTGATTCCCGCGTGGGTGGTCGCCCAGTGGCTTTACGATCTTTGCCTCGTCGATTAAACTAGGGGTTGTGGTGGACATTTCATACTCTGCAGCATAATGGTATGGCTTCATTCAACTGCAAAGCATTCCTCAGACCGACTGCGGGTGCTATACAATAGGCGTGGGCCCCGCACTTGACGAAATAACGTATGTAATGGGACTGCTGCCGCTACTATTACTGTCGCGAGAATCGGGGAATTCGTGAGGCTTGTACTCATCTAGTGAGAGTGAAAGACAGTCCTTGCAGCGTGAAAAGCTGGGCGTGGCCCTCCCTACACTTGTCTAGAGCCTGCCGCGTGGGCTACGTTTTACGCCAATTTGTCTTAGCTTCGGTTACCGAAATTTTTGGTTTGGTAAGGTACCTGCCGAAAAGGAAATAGTGCAAGCACCTATCACATGCGGGACCACGGCGAGTGTTTTTTTTACCATAATAGTTCAAAGAAGAACAGTTCATATAGTCTCTCTCTCTCTCTCGCGGACGAATCGTCTCAACCACTCCTAGTTAACGAATCTCTGGAAATTGGGATTACCAACCCGTGCAAACTAAGCCTACCAAAATTCTTGCTCGGATATTCTCTCCTTGTTTGTCATAGACTGGCATTGCATGTGAGAAATATTTCTGAAACCTTTCCTGTGTCAAAGAATGTCTACTCGCACAGTATTCTGTAGGCATCGCAGCACGTTTTATATTTTTGGCAACAACAATCACATTGAATCAAAGGACAATTGATTGTTGGATTGGGGAACAGGGTAGTTTATGCAAGAAGCAAACTAACCATAAGCGGTATGAAATTGGAAACTGTTTGCCGCTGTTCTGTAAATGCTTTGGACTTTGCGCCGCGGCGTTCAGTACGGAAAATTGTTATAATTGAGGTCCAAACCAAGATGCTATAATGACTTGTGAGTGATAGCAGTAATCGCCGGAAGTCAGAAGTGTCGTGAAAAGTTGGCAGACCAAGCGCCCTTCGATGCGTTCGAATGTTCCCTTAGATTCTGAAAAGAAAGTACTAGTTAGAATGAAGGTAAACTGTCCCGTCCTTTGTCACCGTGTGTCTCATCTCTGCGAGACCCAGCTAAAATTTTTTAGCGGCTGGAAGCGAGTGGGAATCATTTACAATTATGGCATAGAACGTGCAATACGTGCCATTTCCACGTAAAATTTAACGTAGACTTACACACATTGGGGTACTGTTATGAAGTGATCCACATAAACAATCACCAATCGTCATACTTAATAATAATTATTACATCTTTGGTGTGTACCAATGGGTGGCTGGGAGTGCGCGTAGTGCACTCAGATGGCCGCCGAATTCATTTGGTTTGTTCAGCAGTGAGGCAAAAGTGCAAGGATCCAACGACAATTAATCTCCTCATCAGATCGGTTACCTAGGTCAAGCGAGGCGTCGAGGAAAATCTTGAAATACGACCTCCCCTGTAGACCTGTCGAAGATTACTCAACGCACTTGGTCCTGTCAGTCACCCTTTCTACTTTTGGATCAAGGTAGCATCTGACAACGAGTGTGACACGGCCTAGGCTCTGACTTTGGGGCGAGGGAGGGGAACAGGAAGCCGATGCATAAGTCGATGCTTTTGACCTCACAGACGTCCAGTCAGTATTTGTCTGCAAAGGCTCCTCGTGAAAAAAATGGACTGCGCAGCGCATTTGCTTGAAAATGTTCCCGATTCCGATAGAAATTCGAATGGTGACTAAATTACTCCCCTCCCCCTCCTCCACTTCATTTTCGCCACCTGATTAAGTAAAATTTGCATTCTTTTGTTGCACACCTTTAGATGTCTTGCTGTAGAACAAGGTTTCTATAGATTAGAGTCACTTTATCGTCATGAAACCCCAGCTTATATCTCAATAAACCAATCATAAAACTTTCGCTTTCGCGAGTTATGTTTTCTCGTTAAAGTTTAAGTTGAAAGGGACCTTCTACGCTATGAAAGAAATCTATTTCGGTATTGTTGTCTTGGACAGTATCCTCATGAAAAACAGAAAGCTGGTGTAGCCCAATTTTTTCCGAAATTTCGTAGCTTCAGTGAATCATTTGGGGTCATTGTGGGTTTGTACTATTCCTTGGTCATAATCGGATATCTGGACAAATACGTAGCAACAAATTTAGCCCCATGCGATAGATTGTAAGGCTGTCCCAATTGTGGCTATTTTTCAATTTTAATTTTTTATTATTTCTCTCAGATGCTTACTCATCAGAACACATACTACCATTATCTACCTAACATTTTTTGTGCATGGTGAGATAGTCGCTGTATTTCTCGTGGAGTGCCGTAAATTTTCTGATCGGATAAAGCTTGGATGTTAGCATTCATACCAGCCAATTATTGTTTAGCGCATAATTTCTCCCCGAGAAAGCGGCAGAGTTGAGAATTTTGTCAGCCAGGAATATTCATTTTTATGAAAGTTCCCCGCAAGGTAGGGTCGGGCGACCTCACGAAAAAGCAGCCTTTATTTTGCTTCGCTAATAATTTGAAAGCATCCCTGTCAATGTTTACGTTTGGTTCCTTCACTGACCTCCAAACCCCTCGCGTATTCCGCCGGCATCTCAGAATAATTGAACTTGAGGAGGTGACGATTTACCACTCATTCACAATTCGTCAGTCGTTTAGGCTAGGCTGCTGCCGCTTGTTATTTACTAGAAACGGCACCCCGTTCACGGTACCGGTGAATATGCTGAATAGTCACAAGGAGCCATGGGAAATCAGCAGGAATATGACGATATTGAGCTAATTCGCGCTAGATTTACTCCATACTCTGATCTTCACGACCTTATGGAGATGTCTCAGTATTTTGTCACATCAGAAGCGTTCTAGCAAATAACAACTAATATGTCCTGATTCCCGTCTGTGGTGTCGAGTGGAGCATGATCATTGAGATTACCCCTTTCACGGGCTGATTGGAGGATAGATAATATTTAAATAAAAGCCAACCTCGGTATAAAGAGGACTGCACCGTGGATTGAGGGAGCGTAACGGGCAGATTGGGCAGAGCGCATAATTGCTGAAATTAAGAATTCTCCAAAATCCTCAAGATCTTTGAATGTCGTCACATTTTGACACAAATGTAGAAATCCCTGTATTATTGTTTACTAGGAATATCACACTCTTTTGTCACATTCGATCTCACAGGACTGCCAGACGCATGATTGTCGCCGTCCCTAGTTGCTCCTTTTCCTTGTTTTTTATTGCCAATCCGAGGTAGCACGGATATTTTGCCAGCGAGAGGGCATCTTCCGAAAGAATTTTTACCTTCGTCACCCTCTGCTGTGGCCAGATGATGGTCAGATTTCTAGTCAAAATTCGCCCAAGTTTGGAATCCTTGAAGTTGTAACGTGTCCTCAATCATAGAAAACCAGGGCTCAAGATAGGAAGGCTATCAGTTGCC